TCTATCTAGAGATCATTAAAAATACCATTCTAGGACACCTGGGTGGCTCAGATGGATAAGCAGCCGACTTCGGCTCAGGTCATGATCTCGTGGTTCATGAGTTGAAGCCCCGCATCAGGCTCTCTGCTGACAGCTTGGAGCCTGGAGCCTGCTTCAGATTCTGTGTCTCCCTCTCTCTCTCTGCCCCTCCCCTGCTCATGCTCTGTCTCTTTCAAAAATAAATAAACGTTAAAAAAATTTTTTTAATTCAATTAAAAAAATACTGTTCTAATGTCTAAAAATGTTTAAGTTTTACCTTTCAGGTTTAAGTATAGATTCAATGTCACTTTCTTCCATGTGGATAACCAACTGTCCCAGCACAATGTATGGGGACCTTACTAAAGGTGTGCAATGCAAACTTTGTCATAAACCAGGCTTCCAGGTTTCTATGTTCTATTCCACTGGTCCGTCTACCCGTACACCACATTGCAGTCATACTTATTACAGCTTTATAATAATTCTTAATAGATGCTAAAGAATTCTTCTCACTTTGGGTACTACTTCTTAAGGAGGACCTTGGCTACTCTTGAGGGACTGACCTTCCTTAAGCTATGACAACCATTTAATTGCCATAGATGAAAAAAAATTCCACATACTGAAAAAAATCTAGTAGTTAAAAGAGTTTACATGTCTATGGTGGAACAATTCTACTGTTCTGAAAAAACATATTAAAAATGATACAAGTCATAAAAATAGAACTACCCTACAACCCAGCAATTGCACTACTAGGTATTTATCCAAGGGATACAGGTGTGCTGTTTAGAAGGGGCACATGCACCCCAATATTTATAGCAGTGCTATTAATAACAGCCAAATCATGGAAAGAGCCCAAATGTCCTTCAACTGTTGAACAGATAAAGAAGATGTGGTATATATGTACAATGGAGTGTTACTCAGCAATCAAAAAGAATGAAATCTTTCCTTTGCAACAATGTGCATGGAACTAGAGAATATTAACCTAAGCGAAATAAGTCAATCAGAGAAAGACAAATATCATATGACTTTACTCATATGAGGAATTTAAGATACAAAATAGATGAACATAGGAAATGGAAGCAAAAATAATATAAAAACAGGGAGGGGGACAAAACATAGGAGCCTCTTAAATAAAGAGAACAAACTTAGGGTTGCGGGAGGGACTGTGGGTGGGGGGATGGGCTAAATGGGTGCAGGGCATTAAGGAAGACACTTGTTAGGATAAACACTGAGTGTTATACATAGGGGACAAATCACTGGAATCTACTCCTGAAAATATTACAGTACTATATGCTAACTCGGATGTAAATTTTAAAAGATAATAAATAAATAATGATACAAGTCATAAAAAAGAAGATGGTGATAAGGAGTTCAACTCAAGAGGCATTTAAAAGAAAAGTTCCAAAAATGTCTTATAAAATATCATTATTAAAGTAAATGTATAGCACCCAACTTTTATGTCCACTATACTGCTGTTCCTTTAAAAAAAAAAAAGTTTCAGTATTTTAGTCACAGTTCATTCTATGCTCTCTGATATTTACTGAGTCTTGGCCAATTATATTCTTGATACCATGTCAGATACTACAGATAGTACTAACCTGAAATGAATCATACCCTGGAAGCTCTTATCACACTGTCAAACACCAATCTAAGAGACACACCATTCACATTACAAAAGAGAAACATCAACTCAGGAAACCTGACAGGAAAAAGACATACAGATAGGGAAGTTTCTAAACAGGTTTTATCAGAAAGCAGTATAAGACACTAAACTTTTCTGCAACAAGATTTTCCTTATTTTTTTTCCTGCAGTTGTTTTGTTTCTGTCTTTTCTTTACCTAAAACCATTTAATGGCATCCTACTGTTCTTCTAAAGAACCCTATTACTGCAGGACCCATACCTCCAAGTTCTCACTAAAGAAATTCCATGGTCAAAAAAGTTAGGAAAATGTTATATACTCGATACGCCCTGGGAGATTCATACTGTTTATTACTGCCCTAAAGGTTCTGTGAAGTTCTACAATAAAGAAAACTACTTCACTTAGTTAACTCAGAACTTCTCATTTTCAAGCATGGAACTTTTCCCCCATCCATTTTGTCTTTTTTGCATAACACAAAACAGGTTTCAAATAACAATAGATTAAGTAACAGATTGGTTTCAAATTCTGTAATCAGCCAATTTTTAAACTATGGCTTATTCTTTCTGCAGCAAAAATGGTTTTTCTGTGCACCTGCAAATTCCATTAATGAGACCCTATCATGTTCACAAGGAAGATCTTCATAAAGTGAAGGTTAATTTTGTAATTATCTAAATTTAACTGTTTAAAGTTCATATTTCTGTACCATCTTTTTTAAAAATAAATGTTTATTCATTTTTGAGAAAAAAGAGTATGAGCAGGGGAGGGGCAAAGACAGTGGGGTACAGAGGATCCGAAGAAGGCTCTGCACTGACAACAGTGATCCAGCCCGATGTGGGGCTTGAATTCATGACCCATGAACTGAAGTTGGATGCTCAACTGACTGAGCTACCCAGACACCCTTCTGTACTATATTTAATGTAACATATACAGCACATAGTTGTAAACAAAAATGGTAAATTCAGAAGTCATCGTTATTATTATAGATCCCTAAAAGAATGTAAAAGAAGTGAAAACAATTCTAAAAGAAGTGAAATTTAGCAATTATTTACTATCAATTATTTTTTTCTAAGTTTAGAATATCATATACTAAAGAATATATCAGCATTTAAATGTTACATTCAACAAATGCAACATTATTCCACATAGGATACTGTGAGGAAAGAGTTAACACAGCAGGTCTGTTTTACTCAGTCCATGCTATTCTCTGGGGCATTCCTGGAGCCATGGCAATGACCCCTGGCCAAACTCTGAGAACTAAACTCCTGGAATGTTCACAGTCACTGGGTAAGGATGTTAAAGGCAATGGGTCAGGATATATCAGGCTGTCAGTGTTGTTTAAAGTAATCATCAAGATTTATGATGTGCACCTGGTATCTGGTCAAGTCCTAAATTTTAGTTACCAGGGCTGGCCACAGAAAGTCACGTCCATGTGATCTTCACAGAGGAAAGACGTGGATGTTTCTGTCTGATCTTCCTGGCATTCACCTGTATATATCTTTTTTCTGCTGCTCCTGTACTGTATCCTTTGCTGTAATAAACCTTAGCCATGAGGACAACATTGTTATATTGGGGGAGTCCTTCTAGCAAACCAAACTAATGGGCAGTCACTCATGGGACCCCCCCCCCGAAATGAACACCATTAAAGCATTTGGTTTGCCATAGTACCTACTTCTCTCATTATTTTTCAGAAGCTAAATGATCATAATCACAATCTGCTTAAATGAATAAATCAACGTACAGGATAAAAACTGAACAAAGCAGGCACAAGATTCTTATCTTTAGAAAGGCTGGCCCTTGGTTGGCAACTGGGAATTTGAAAGATAAAGAGTTCCCTACACTGATATAAAACTTAGCTCAAATGGTAAATGTCTAACTGTGTCTAAAATGTTTGTATAAACAATATAGTTTGTGCAAAACACCTGATTTCCTTCTGGGAGACTGAAATTTTGGTACATGCTAGGCAGAGGGTGCCTCCATGACCAGCCCTGAATAAATACACAGACACTGAGTCTAATGATCTTCCCCAACTGATAACATTTCACATATGTTGTCACAATTTATTACCGAGGCTTGTGCCTAGTTTCCTCCAGACTTCACCGCATGCACTTTTTCCCTTTGCCAATACTGCTCTGTATCCTTTCACTGTAATGTTAGCTGCTATTATGACTATATGATGAATCCTGTGAGTCTTCCTAGCCAATCATTAAACCTGGGGATGGCCTTGGGAACCCCCAATACAATCAGCATATGAAGACATAAGTGAGTGTCTATTAGGCCAAATGCTAAAATTCAAATTTGGGTTCAAATTTTAATTCCAACACTTAGTAGTTAAAGAATCTTAGCAGGGGTGCCTGGGTGGCTCAGTCATTTAAGTGGTAGAGATTTCACCTCAGGTCATGACCTCAGGGTGCTTGAGTTCAAGCCTCACATCAGGCCCTTCCCCTGCTCATGCTCACTCTCTCTTTCCCTCTCAATAAATAAATAAATGAATAAATAAATAAACAAAATAAACAACCCTAGCAATGTTATTCTTTATTTACAAAAACCTGGGGCTCTTTATTCCTGTGAGAAAAACATGCCCACCTTATAATTCCATTTCACATTACTGATTAAATGAGGTAATGCACAAGGCTTATATATTATAGTACATACTCCGTAAGTATTGAATAGTATTCCCAGAGGCATTTTCTTAGATGAAACAAAAAATCAGGAACCTTTTATATTTGTACTGATGTAATGATTATTCGAATGGCCACAGTACTGCAAAAAGCAGCTCCAAGATAAACTTTAACCCTGAATCTTTTTTATTTTGAGAAAGAGTGCGTACATGTACTAGCGTGCCCACAAGCCTATGTGAGCGGGAGAGAGGCAGAGAGAAAGGGGAAGAGAGAGAGAATCCTGCGGGGCTCAAACCCACGAGATCATGACCTGAAATCAAGAGTCTGATGCTTAACCGAGTGAGCCATCGAGGCACTCCCAACCCTGAATCTTCAAACTGATTCTAAGTGATTTCCAGACCACTTGACATGATTATTGGGTGAGCTCAGGCAGGTTAAATCTAAATAATAAGAACCTTTTTATTTCTAAACTTTATATTCATCTAGTCTTCAAACTGACCACCCTAGTGAGATATGAATGCACTAATTAATTAGTACCAGGACTATGTTTGATGGTTACATTTCTGAAATAACTAAACTTGGATTTTAGTACAAGCTATTAACTTATGTATATATGAGTCATAAAGTCCAATCAATGTTAAGTGTGACACCTACATAGCTGTAAAAGCAAACCCCAAGGTAACAGAAGTGAAACCCTGAAGTCATTCACTCCCAGCTATCAACTTACCCCAAAGTGGTTTTTCAAATGAATTCATATCCCAAATCCACATGTCCCACATGTCCTGTTGAAAAATAAATTTCCTAAAATCAGATTATTACAGATAACTCTACCATCCCCCCTGATAACTTTAGCCACACTATTCCACTAGACTTTAGGTGAGTCACACCTGAGGGCAAAACCCATGTCTTATTCAGCTATTTCCCCAGTGCTGAGCACTGGCACATAATAGGTATTTAATACCTTGCATATAATAGGTATTTAGTTAATGTCCAGTACATGAGTGAGTCAATGAATAAAATACTATTGAGATCTAACATCAAGCTTGGTGGAAATACTATAAAAGATTCATTCCTCCTCTTAGAAATCTATCAAAATATTAACTTGTCAGGTGGGAAGGCCAACGACAGATAGCATTTGGAGCAGTACTGTTTATTCCTTATCCCACCCCCACCCACCATGTTTTTCACTGCATTAGACCACCAACTGAATTCAACTGATCATTCTCTGCAAAACTACCTATTCTTGTATTCTTGTTTGATTCAAGCTAGCCATTGCCGTTCTATTCTTCTTGCTGGTACAAGTGATCAAATCTCAACCAAGAGGACTGACCAGGGGGGAAATCTGTTGGGTACATTCAGGAAAAGTTATCTTCTCTCAAAGATGCTGAAGGAGAAACTGTATTTTTTTATCTTTAGATACTGTTTATATAGTATATTTATAAATATATTTATAGTAGCCATCTTGATTCATAAGGGAAGCCAACATCAACACGTTTAGGATGACAAGCCAACATCAACATGTTTAGGATGACAAAGTTAAAATATGGAAAGCACACAGGAACCTGATGATATCATGGAGCCACTGAACAGACCAAATCTGGAATCTATGTCTGGACTTACTGTTACCTGAGATGATAAAGCCCTCATTGTTAACTGGGTATTCTGCAACTACAGTTGAAAGCATCCCAATACACCACGCTGCAACCTACAATTACTGATTTACACAGGCATGTATGCTATGAAGAAAAAAAATAAGATGTGAATCAGTGAAGGGTCCAAATTAAAGAGTCTACTTTTACAGGAGATTGCACAGAAGCAGAATTTAAAGGTAAATTTAATAGCTACAAAACAGAACTTGGTGTAGAACATGCTTACCTTAGACACAGCATTATTTAATCTTTCACAAAATCACATATCCCTAATTCATTCAAAGTTTAATAAACATCAAGACACTATGCTACGCAGTCTGATGTACACAAATATGAAAGAGGTTCAGTGTCTGTCCTCAATGAGCTTGCAATTCAGGGGGAGAGAGAACAAGGTAAGTCTGCATGCCGCTTCACAATTTATAAAATGCTTTTACATATTTGCAACAGGTGCCATGTCACAAGGGGATGTAGTGCACAAAGGAGAGAAACTGGTGGGGGAGAGTAACGGAGGAACTGGTTTGAGTCAGAAAAGGGAAAAAGGAGATTTCAAGTAGACAAAACAGTGTGAGCTAAAATAAGGGAGGCAGGAAAATTCAGGGCATGCCTGGGGGACAGCAAACAAAAACTGAAGACATGGTTGAAGGAGTATGTTCAGAACAAGAAAAATCTTGATTAGCAAACTAAGTAGAGTTGGATGAGCAATGGTGACCATAGTTTTCCCATGTTTTTACTTTCAGCTCTTCTATACAAATACCAAATCATTACCTTAGAACATTGCAATTTCAGAAAATGTACACCCTTCTGCCAAACCATGAACTCAAGACACTACGAAATAACACTGCCACCATCCACAATGGCAAACCCCTCAGATCATGGGAAGTAATTTTTAGCAAGGATCCAGCAGGAACTTCCTCCAGGCCAGGGGCTCATGCTGTTTTCTGGCTATGAAGTTCCCAAAGTCTCCAAAGGTGTTGTTTATATTTTTGCCCAAACACCAACCATAGCCTTGAACTCCATAATCTGCCCTCTTCTCCCAGATTATCACCTCTGTGCAAGTAGTCTTTATTCTCTGTCTCTAATTTCTCAACTCCTCAAGCCAAGGTAGTCTGACTTCGCTTCAATGAAACAGTTTGATCAAGTTACTCTAATATTCTAACTACCAAAACCAGTCTTTTTCTCTGAATCATTCTTAATGTCTATAACATCTTCTTCTCTGGTCTCCCAGGGTCATTCCTTGCTCTCCTCCTTTTCTGATCATCCTCTGCAGTCTTCTTTACTACTTCATCCCACTCTGCCTTGGATCTGTCCCGAGGCTGACTGTCACTCCACACACCCTCCTTGGGAAATCTGCCAACTGTAAAGATTCGCGCCTAGTGTGCCAGTGCTTCCCGTATCTGTGTCTTCCTGGGACTTTCTCAGACTGCAAACTCCTCCAGCATGAGAATTATTTTGAGAATAATTGAGAATATTGAATATTTTCAGAATCATACTTGAGCCCTAAAAATCTTATAAAATATCTGAAGACAGCAGAAAGGCATATGCGATAAAGCCTTTCTACCCCCAATGTCATGTTTTATCCTTTTCTAATAGCTTTACTTTCCATTCTAGCACCAAACACTAATTTACACCAAAATATATATTGATTAGTTTATTGCTTATGTTGCAAACTTCATGAGGGTAGAGATTCTGTTTAATGATTTTATAGAGCATCTGGAATAATACCTGGCACATGGTAAAAGAGTTCAATTATCATTTGTTAAATAAATGAAAAACCAGAAAGCAATACTGTATAAGAAAAAAAGTAGCTAAAATTAAAGCATTTTAAGGTTGTTACGTTCAGATACAGGATAAAGATAAGTGATTAATTTTAGGCTTTTAAAGATTAAATATTGAAAATTTAAAGCTAACAATTAGTAAGGCAAAATCAGAATGTACAACTTAAAAATCAAAGGTGAAAGAAAGAATATCAATCAATTAAAAATAAAACAGGAGGAGGGGTGCCTGGGTGGCTGTTGGTTAAGCATCTGACTCTTAATTTTGGCTCAGATTCATGGGATCAAGCCCTGTGTCATGGATTCTCTCTTTCTCTGTCTCTCTCTCTCTGCCCTTACCCTGTGTACACATGCTCTCTCTCCCAAAATAAACATTAAAATAATATAAATATTTTTTAAAAATGAGCTATCAAACCATGAATAGACATGAAGGAATCTTAAATGTATAATACCAAGTGAAAGAAACCAATCACACACTGTATGATCTCAACTATATAACATTCTAGAAAAAGCAAAACTATGGAGACAAAAAAGATCCATGGTTGCCAGGGTTGGGGGTTGTGATTAACAGGCAGATTAGAGAAGAGTTTTAGGCAGTGAAAATACTCTGTATGATATATAATGATGGATACAGGTCATGATACATTGGTTGAAACCCATACAATGTATACCACGAAAAGTGAGCTCTTAGGTAAACTATGGACTTTGAGTGGTTATGATATGTCAATGCAGGTTTACCCTTGGTGAAAACATGTACCACTATGGTGAGTGATGCTGATAATGGGGGAGCTATGAGCATGTGAAGGCAGGAGGCATATGGGAAATCTCTATACCTTCCTCTCAATTTTACTGTAAACCTAAACTGCTCAAAAAAAAGTCTTAAAAAAAATGAAAGCATGAAAGACACACAGAAAGGTGAAACAGCTTATACTGGACTAACCTTCCCACAAACAACAATTATAAACTCTGGCCAAAATGTAAAACCCAGTATTCAAAAGCACTGCATAGGTTAAATAGGTGATGGGGATTAAGGGATGCACTTGTGATGAGTACCTGGTGTTGTAGAGAAGTGTTGAATCACTATACTGTACACGTAATACTAATATTACACTGTATGTTAACTAACTGGAATTCAAATAAAAACATTAAAAAAAGAAATTTAAAGAATTAGAAAAGCACTAGATAGCAACCAAAAGAGAGAAAAGAGAAGCCAATCCTTGAAATAGGGGAACTGAGATTTGCTTTTATACTGGTGTTTGCCTGAGGGCAGATACCAGCCTGCATTGTGTAAAGCAGGTGAAACTCCAGTGGAAAATCACTCACTGGCTCTTGGTATCAAAATAATGAAGTTTGGGGCTAGTAGAGCAATTGGAAAGTGAGGAAGAAAATCCTAGATATATTTAGATATGTAAACTCCACACCACAATCCTTAGCTGAGCCTGAACACAACACAGGACACTCCAGAGGCTCCGAAGAAAAGCAACAGCTAAAAATGCCTGAAAGAACTGAGCAAGATACCAGGTGTTGCCCAATGCAGAAGAAACAAAGTTTGGAACTTAAGTCCAACCAGCTGACTGCCTGCTAGAACAAGAAAGAACACTTTTTAGGAGAAAACAAAATTACCCATCACAAAAACATACTTAAAATATGAAGTATAGGGGAGCCTGAATGGCTCAGTCAGTTGGGCATCTGACTTCGGCTCAGGTCATGATCTCACAGTTCATGGGTTCAAGCCCTGTATCAGGCTCTGTGCTGACAGCTCAGAATCTGGAGCCTGCTTTGGATCCTGTGTCTCCCTCTCTCTCTCTGACCCTCCCCTGCTCACACTCTATCTGTCTGTGTGTGTCTCTCTCTCAAAAATAAAAAACACTGGGGCACCTGGGTGGCTTAGTTGGTTAAGCATCCGAATTCAGCTCAGGTCATGATCTCACTGTCTGTGAATTCGAGCCCCACATCAGGTTCTGTGCTGACAGCTCAGAGCCTGGAGCCTGCTTTAGATCTGTGTCTCCCTCTCTCTCTGCCCTCTCGCATTTATAATCTTTCTCTCTCTAAAATAAACAAACACTTAAAGAAATTAAAAAAGAATAAACATTAAAAATTTTTTAAAAATTCAGTATACAATAAAAAATTACTGGCCATGGAAATAAACACGAAAATGTGACTATAGTTTGAAAAAAAAAAAAAAAAGCAGTCAATGTACATTGGACACAAGATTACCCAAATGTTGGAATTAGTTGACAAGGGCTATAAAGTAGCTACTATAAATATGTTCAAAAACTAATAATAAACGAAGACAGGTAACTCACCAGACAAACATGAAGTATAAAAAGGAACCATAGAGGACCATGCAGAACACAAAAA